TTTTTTTTTTTTTTTTTTTTTTTTTTTTTTCTTTTTTCTTTTCTCTTTTTTCTTTATCCCTTGACGACCTGAGCAGCTCTAGCACGTCTTCTCAGTCTTCTGGGACCTCTCCTTGTGGTCCTCAAGGACCAGAGTCTGAAGCATTCACCGGGCAAAAAGGTGGCCGCCTCCTTCGGGTAGCAGAGTTCCCGGAATTTGAAGAAATCGCCCGGAAGAAAGCTTTTCTTGGGCGAATGGGCCAAAACGTGTCTAAAGAAGGGGAAGTCCTCGAGACAGTAGGCCAGGTTGGTAGCCGGGGGGTTCGCCTTCGATGAAGAAGGAGCAGAACCAGGCTTTGAAACAGTCTTTGAACCAAGATTGGGGGAAAGTTCCTGGTCAAAATCGGCTTGCAAAGTCTCAGAGTGTGAAACTTCCAAGACCTCAGAGTGTCCAGCACCAGAAAGCTTCTGAACTCCAGAAACCTCCAGATTCGAACACTCTGGCTCACCGCAGCGTTGCAGAGTTGCACTAGGCGCCGTGTTGGTGGAAAAAGTCCATGAAAAAGTGGACTTTTCGGCTTGAGGCATCTCCTCAGGTTCCTCTTCCTCAGGAATGGTGAAGATGTCGTTGTTGTAGAGCCATCCGTGGCCCAGGGGAAGGGAGCCAGGCAAAGGCGGAGAAAAAGAAGAATCAGCTTTAGAAACTGGGGTATCATGTGAAACTGGGGCGTCAAGGGAAGCGGTATAGGCCTTCTTGAACTCACTGTACAGCTCCTCAAGGCTTTCGAAAAGCTCGTCGTCAGACACTTCTGGAGCGTCGGTGACTTCAGAATGCTCTCCAAAAGCGGGAATGGCAACCTCTGTTTTGGTTTCAGGGAAGGTGGCCAAAACAACAGCCTTGGATACTGGAGAGGAAGCTGGGGAGGTATTGTTGGAGGATTCCAATGGGGCGTCAGAGGAAGAGGAAGAAGAGGACTCAGAAGAGGAAGAAGTGTCAGAATCGGAGTTTTCTTCATTTTTTTCTTCATTCTCCTCCTCAGATTTCTCCTCCTCTTCCTTCTCTTCATTCTCCTCCTCAGGCTTCTCTTCCTTCTTAGTATCCTGCTTCAGAATCTCTAAAACGACTTCAACTTCCACTTCCACTTCATCGTCCCAGGAGGGACAGTGGCCGAGACGGAATTCCTGGAGCTTCGTCTCATAGAGAGCCTGGGCGTTTCTGCGGGCAGAATCGTCAAACTTAGCCTGCTTGATCAAGGCCTTCATTTGCTCAAATTGGCTCTCTTTCCACTCAAGCAGAGTGTGGTTGGCACCGTGGTCGATTTCGATCAAACCGGAGGCGTCAAAAGCAGCGTTGAAAATGACAGCGGGGAAGAAGCTGCCGTTGATTTCGTGACACTGGAAACACATTTTTCAGTTAGTTCGGTAGTACTTAGTGTAGCTTTGGTAGTTTTGTGGTCTGTGAAGCAATAAATTGATCAGAGACAGAAGGTTCTAACGTGGTGGGTCAGAACAGTGGGCCAGAATGTGGTAGAGAAGGGAAAATTAGTTTGGGGGAATTCGGGCGTATTTATCTTGTTCTGGTGGACCTTCCGTTTGTGAAATTATTTAGGAAGGTGAGGTGGATGACCAGGGCATGGTCACGCCGGCGGGAGGGCCGTTGGAGTTACTGGAAATGGTGGATTTGAAGGGGAAAAGGCATTTGGAAAAAAAGGTGTCACTCTTTGGCGTCTGTGTTGGGAAGTTGTAGAATGGTTGCAAATGTGTCATGTAGGCTTATCATCTTGCAGAATGCCCGATTGGGATACTCCGAGGCCGAAGGTCACATAGATGTGGAGGAAGGAAAGAGATAGATTGTGTTTGGTGAAGAAGGGGTATTTGGTTTGAGAGGCAGGGTTGGATACTGGGGTGTAGTGGATTAGAAGTGAGACACATCGTAGGGGAACGAGAAAGAAATGGTGTAAACGTTGAGTGGCACAGCCCGTAGTGCTATAGCATAAGATATGTTTGGATTAGGAGAACTCGAATTCTGGAAACTTTAGGATTCCACCATCTCTAGCACTATCCTACTGAGCCACTTACCCTGCTAAATCTACGATATCGACCTTCAGGATGCAATCACCAATCAAAGTTTCCATTGGAAGATCGGAAAATATTCCTAAAGCACTCCCGAAAGCCTTTTTTTATGCCTTTGGTGCTTTGGTTCTAGATTTGAAAGCTTCCCATATCTGTACTAAACCAAACTGCTTCACAGTAGCTCACCCAACGTATTCCAGCCCATTCTACGTCATCAAGACTAAAGATTGAATTTATATGAACACGATTCTCCTGAGATAGCTTTTCTGAGCCTACCTTCGCTTTCTCGAAAGAAGTCGACCACTTTTTGGTCCATGTCTTTCAACCACCATAGGTAGAACCACCAGATTAATACCCTGACACCAAGAGAAAAAGACTCACTGCACTTGCATCTCCTTGTACTTGCCCATCAACATTTAGTTAAAGAAATGCAAAAAGAATAAACCATTTACGCTCCCATCACAGCTACTCCACAGCTGCCTTAGACAATCACGTCAGCTCTTCTTCCTCCAAAACTCTACATCCCATCCTTAGACTATGCAATTGATATGTACACGTATCGCTAGATACCACAACCACCTCGAGCTTCCACACCTTCTCATCTGAAATAGCCCACCACTTGATGGTCACTATTCCATGCAGAAGCATCCTCTCGATGTTACGACCTTAAAGAACGACCACCATACACTGGCGCCTCCTCAAAATCAACAACCTCCTCTCTCAGCTTCCCAAATCGTCATCCACCAAAAATTCGGATCCTTTGCTTCCTCACTTGAGCAGCTCCTCGAGCTCTTTCCGGGCATGCACCTCCTCGTTGACACGGGAGGTCACGTGGTCACCCACTAGGGCAAACACAAACGTCAGGCCGGCGATATACAAACGGGCTTTCTTTGGAAGCGCCATCCAACGTTGCCACAAGTTCATGATGGGGTGTAGTGAGATGAAAATCTCGCGAAATCCGGGGAAGCCTTGATGCGATGGCGGTTGACGGGACGGTGGCAGCGAAAAAAAGACAGTGATATATTCGCTTTTGAATGATTGGATTATTAGAATTGGAGATTTTTAGAGACTTGTTCTTCTGGGCTGAAGGATTGGGTTAAAGTGGTGTGGAAATGGCATGGTGTACGGGTGTAGATGTGGCATAGATGGGTGAACCTGGGATGGTTCCTATCGCTGAAGTAGTCTAAAGGTAAGATTTTCAAAAAATAGAAAGGCAATTCAAATAATTATGGTCTCAAATTAAGTGATTTTCACTTTATGAATGATTTCACGTTTTGATTCCGGGGACTTTCAGCACCCTCCTGGAAGACCATGTATGGAAGTTGTGTAGTCAAGACCACACCAAACAGTCAATTGACGGTCACCCATGGATAAAAACATTGAAAGTCCAAACATGAAAAAATCCATCATTGAGCTCATTCCTTGAGGATATGAATATTTGGGTTTCTTTGAAGGACATGTCCATTGCACTTCTTTGCAGCCATTACATCCATACCAGACAGCCTAAATGCTCTCTTCTTCATTGTCTGTACCAATGCCTTGGTGAATTTCAATCAGGTCACTCCTCTCTTCATATCTGCCTGAAATTTTAATGACAAATAATTCTCAAATTGTCTCTTATCACTTAGACTCACGCTCCCTCAACCAGTGAACACTCAGAAGCCAACAATTCCACACATTCCCAAACCCACAAACCATCCAAATCAACACTCCCCATTTTAACCAAAACATCCATTCTACCAATAAAAACGCCATCCATCTCCATCAACCTCACAACCTCAAACCCCCACCTCATCGCTACCCCGGATTATCGCGATGTGAAAAACTCCATACCAATCCACCCTAGTTCTCCCAAATCACACCCCAAAAACACCAAAACCCACCATGAACACCACCACGGAACTCCCGCCGTGCTGTCTCCGCGTGCACCCGCAGAACCCCGAAATCGCCGTCCTCGGAACGTACAAACTCGAGGAAAACGGCTCTCGTCACGGATCCTTGGACGTCTACACCACGAAAAACGGCCACTTCGAACGCCTTTCGTCCACAAAAACAGCCTCCGCCGTGCTAGACCTCAAGGTGTCGCCCGCAGATTCGTCGCTCTGGGTCCTGGCGCATTCCACAGGGAACATCAGCGTGTGGAGGTTTGAAGACCAGAAGCTTGAGATGAAGCAGAATATGGACTTGTTCGAGGAGGACGTGCTTGTGACGTCGGTTTTCTTCGACCCGAGGGATGCAAATCGGCTTTTGGCGACATTGACGTCGGGCGAAGCGGCCATTGTGAATCTCCAAAACGGGACCTTTGATCTTCTAGAAACTCCTCATTCCTTGGAATGCTGGACAGGCGCTTTTGGAGAGGAAGGAGCCGCTCAAAATGTCGTTTTCACCGGCGGCGACGATGCAAAACTCATAGCCCACGATCTTCGCCAAAACGGGAAAATATGGGCCTCAACTCGGCACCACGATGCTGGAGTAGTGCTGATATTGTGTCCAGGCAAAGAATGGAGAAACCCTCGGTCAGACTGTCTCTGGACAGGTTCTTACGATGACAACCTTCGGGTTTTTGATTTGCGTAAAATCGATACCGACGAAGGTCCTTCTTTGTTTCCCAGCTTGCTTCCCCAGGAACTCCACAAAACGAACCTCGGTGGAGGAGTCTGGAGACTTATACCCGGCCCGGATCTTTCTGTTTTGGCCTGTTGCATGTACAAGGGAGCCTATATTTTGAAAACGGGGGAAAACGAGCCCCAGGTGGGTAAGTTTTTTAAGGGAAAGCATGAAAGTATGGTTTATGGAGGTGACTGGTCAGGAAAGGATGCATTGACCTGTCTGTTTTACGACAATATCGTGGAGAAGTGGGCGTCCGAATAGATAGTGGGATAGGGCTGATTGAGGTTGATTTGAAGAATATGAGGTGCATGGTTATAGAGCCTTGTTAGTATGTTGAATAGACCCCATCGCGTAAATGGGAATGAAGAAAGTCTGCAGAGTTTAGTAGAAGCAAGTGCCTTGTAATTTCGGCATCAAGAGGTGGAGACATACGTGTTCTTCACAATAGAGCCTCTGCTCTTCGTAGGTCGATGTCATCAATCCGTGTAGTGTATTTTGTGGTACTCGTACCATCTATATTCAATGCAGCCGTTGATATCTCATACCGGTTGTCTCCCTAAAACAACAGAAGGTCAAGAGGCACAGAGGACCCTCTACCACTAGGGTAGAGCTTTTCCTTGCGCTCAAAACGACGAGGATTAGGCAAAGCGTCGCTGTTAACCCACTTGAACCTCGTGTCCTCGATAACCAATCTTTCTGAACTGCTTCCGTTTCTCTGCTGCGTGTTGATGGTGTAGTCCAGCGCAGAGATTTTCCGGAGATTCTGGCCCGTTGACTGCTGCTGCTCCATGGTGCTTGGCGGCGGCGGAGGTGCTGCCTTTTTGGGTTTGTATGACGATGGAGCAGGAGGAGTCTGCTTCGGTAGCGATGGAGCCAGAGGCGCCAGAGAAGCCAGAGGAGGTGGAGGAAACAGCAGTGGCGGTGGAGCCAGAGGAGGCGAAGGAGCTCTTGGAGGTGGAGGCGCCTGCGTTGGAATCAGCGGCGTAGGTGGTGCCTGTGAAGGAGCCAGAGGCGTTGGAGGCAACGATGTGGGCACTGGCGGCGCCTGGGGGGTTGGAGGAGCCTGTGAAGGCGCCGAAGGAGCCAGCGATTGTGGAATTGGCGGAGCAGCCGAGGGTGCTGGAGACTTTGACGTCTGGGCCTTGTTTCTGGCATTGAGCTGGTCCAAGAACGACGGAGCCGGGCCGGACGGCGGTTCTGGAGCAGAAGACGCAGGCGCCTTTGGTGCTGACGATGTAGGTGGTTTGGGAACCGACGATGTAGGTGGTTTTGGCACGCTCAGAGGGATTGGAGGAGCTCCCGACGGTGGTTTAGGCGTAGACAGCTGCGGCGTGGAGGCCTCCAGGTTGTATGTGGAGTAGCTCGAGGTGCCGTCGACCACGGTGGAGTCGTTTCTCTTTGCGTTGATCTGGTCCAAGAACGGAAGCGATCCGCCTGGCAAGGCAGGAGCCTTGGGAGCGTCTAATTTCGACGACGGTTTGCTCAGCAGAAGCAGCGGCGGTGGAGGAATCAGCGGAGGCGGTGGAGGCGCCAGGTTTGTAGGTGGTGGAGGCGCCGAAGTAGGCAATTTTGGAGGCCCTGACGCAGGCGGTTTGGGAGGGCCTGAAGAAGGCGGTTTTGGCGCCAGCGTGGGTGGAGGAGGCGCCAGCGGCACGGGAGGCGTAGGTGCCGAAGGCACTGGTGGTGGAGCCGATGGGATCGGAGGAGCCGAGGAAGCTGGAGGACCCTTGTGTGCCGCTTTGGGCCGAGAAGAAGGCGCTGAAGGGGCCGAGCCGCCGGCGTTGTCCACCACATGCGAGTCGTTTCTTTTGGCGTTGATTTCGCTCAAAAACGGGAGGCCGCCTGGCGGAGGCAGCGGAGCAGCAGGAGCCCCAGAGTCCTTGGGCGCCAGCGGAGCCTTGGGAGCCATTGTGGGTGGAGGAGGCGCCGAGGGGACCGGTGGAGGCGCTGAAGGCACGGGAGGCGCTGCCGTTGGCGGTGGAGCAGAGGGTACCGGAGGAGGACCCCTGTTCAGGGCAGCCAGTTCTACCGAGCTGACGGAGCTGACAGAGGCCAGCTTGAGGTGGCCCTTTTTCGACGGTCTGGGCGGCGCCTTGGGCACCTGAAGCGACGAGGTGGATCCCGGCACGGGCGGCGGCGACGACGGGATCGGAGGCGCTGCTGACGGAGGAGCAGGCGTTGATTTAGGCACGGCCGGGGTCTTCAGAGGCCTGGACGAGGGCATTTTCGGCACGGCCGGGGCGGCAGTTTCCGGCGGAGCAGGCGATTTGGGCGCCAGCGTAGGCGGCACCGGTGGCGGCGCCAGCGGCACGATCCCCGAGCGGTTGTCCTTGACGGACTTCAACTTGGGCATGCCACCCAGGAATAGGTCACCCAATTGCGGCGGAGCAGGAGCACCCAGCGGCGCCGGCAGCGACGTTGGTGCCGGCAGGGGCAGCAGAAAACCCGGCGTGGCGGCGCTGGAGCCCCCTGAACCCAAAAGGGGGCCTGACTTATCGACAGTTGTAGCTTTCTTCAAGTTGGCGCCTTTACGGATATCGCCCAAAAGGGCGTCTCTGCCTTTAGGCATGGAGGCGGGCGGTGCCGGCGGGAGATCGAGCCCCGGAGGCGGAGGAGGCGGAGGGGGAGGCGGACCAGCCATTGGAATTGAAGAAGAAAGTGGTACGGTTGATTTGAGTAGTTGGTGAGCTGTGATAAGGCGGTGTGCAGGAGGTGGTACCAAGCAGGGATGGTGATGAAGGTGGTGATGAGGAGGTTATGTGATTTGGGGGGTGGAAGTTTTTGGATTTTGGTAGTGGTGGGTTGAGGTTTGGGAATTTTGGGGGTTGGTGGTTTTTTGAAGGTACGGTGGGTGGATAGTGGATGGATAGTGGATGGTCAGTTGCTCAGGCTGTGGCTGCGAAATCGGACCGGGGTGGGGTGGTGGTGGGCTTTGATGGATTTTTGGTGGAGATTTGGGAGATTTTGGATTTTGTGCGTTTTTGCTTGAAGTTTTGATTTTGTGGGTTTGAAGATTTATAGGGGTCCGTCGGTTTTCGGCGTTTTCGGTTGGTCGTTTAAGCGGTGGTCATCTCAGGCTTGGCTGCGAATTGGCTGCGGATCAATTGCTCACCGGTGTTTTAGTGACGTGAAGGGGGTGTTTTTGAGCAGATGGTCGTTGATGGAATTTTGACTATTGCGGGTTTAGAGTGAGGTTAAGAATCCAGGCTATTTGATGTTCTTGAGCTGTATGGTGGAGGGTAGTGTTTTGCAGAGTATGCTTAGTCGTATTACCAATGCCGATGGAATTGAAATATTCTTACAATTTTGGATAAGTGGGTTCCCCAAGTCAATTTCACAATGAAGGGCGACAGTAAAATATCTAAATGCTTTCGATTGCTTGGTCTCCTAGATGTCATGAATGAACGTCAGACAGTGGGTTCCATTCAGTCCACTTTACGAGATGTAGCTACATCAGCTCGGAAGCCTACATGTCCTCAATAAATACATCAATTCACTATGGCCGGGGAGGGCGGCGTATATACATGTGGTGTAGTAAATGACATTGTTGACGGGGAAGGAGTTGGGGAGGATCGAGTCGGATAAGTGAGCCACTTCAACGAGGCAAAAGATCGAATGGGGACCAGATTGGGGAATTTTGGACGAGATATTGTTCCACCGGAGAAGTACCGAGGTATTGATACTCAAAACGGAATGCTCTACATCGAGCTAGGTCTCAGGTAAGCCATACCAAGATCTGTGGCCTTAGTACCGACTGGCAAACCACTGATTCACTGATTCAGAACAAAGGCGGGGCGTTGATGAAGACCAGTCTGTGGAGTTGATGAAGAAGGACCAAGACAGCCGAAGACGGCCAGGAGCTCAGACTGGGATTAATTCGATTCGTAAGCAGACCAATGCTTACAGAAGCCCCACTTTGACCAAGAGTCTTAAAAATTTCCAAAATCCATGGAGTACCATCGACTCAGAAATAGCAAAACTACGGCCTTTAAGCTTCCAATTGTGACTTGCTCTTATTTTGACCAGGGTTACAGCCTCGGCATTATCTGAAGAGTGCTATCGAGTCAGACAGCACAAGACTTGCAGCCTTGATCCAAGGAAAGCCATCAATCCAAACAAAGTGGGACAACGGCCTCAATCCTCTAAAAATTGTAGATTCCGCTTAGACAGACCAAGACTTGCAGCCTTGGTCTTGACTCAAAAGCGAGTTATCCACTTCAGACCAATGCAGCCATGGTCTTGTCGTTAAGGAGGGTTATCCACTCAAACAGACCAAGACTTGCAGCATTGGGTCTTGACATTAAAGATTGTTATCCACTCAAACTGATCACGACTTACAGCCTTGGTCTTGAGTCAAAAGCGAGTTATCCACTCAAACAGACCACGACTTACAGCCTTGCCCTTCCAAATAGTAGCATCGACTAAGCAGACCAAGACTTGCAGCATTAGTCTAATCCAATCAGTGCAATCGGCTCAAACAGACCAAGACTTACAGCTTGGGTCTTGACTTCAAAGCGGCTCATCCAATCAAACAGACCAAGACTTGCAGCCTTGGTCTTATCCAAATAGTAGCATCCACTCAAGCAAACCAGGACTTGCAGCCTTCGCCTTTTTGAATTTGTGCCATCCACTCAAACAGACCAAGACTTGCAGCCTTGGTCTTATCCAAATAGTTTCATCGACTCAGTCAGACCAGGACCTACGGCCCTGGTCTTAACTAAATAGTAGCCTCGGCTCAGACAGACCAGGACCTGCGGCCCTGGTCTTTGCGTATCCCTCATTCCTCAACCTCCAACTCAACCTCCACCCCCAACTCCTCGCTCAACTCCTCATCCAACAACTTCGTCAACTCACTTCCATCCCTCAACGTCGTCCACTTCCCCCTGATCAAATCGTACCGCTTGGGCCCGCTCACAGGGCTACTAAGCCAGATCTGCTTGTTAGGAGGCTGCTTATTGATCACATAGGTCTTGCCAGGAGCCACCGAAAGCGTCATGACGCCGTGGTTGAGCTCAGCATCGATCTGCGGGTAGTCCTCCAGAAGCTCCTCCAAGGAATCGCTCAACAGCTCGAGATATGTGTTTGCCAAAGACGAGTATTCGTGGTCCAGGATGTTGTCGATCTTGAGGGAGACGTTTTCACCGCTTGTGGAGATGGAATAGTGTTTTTGGGCGATTCTGGGGAATGCAGTGGCGGGGCGGACGACCGGAAGCCTGGAAAGGCGTGGGAGGGCCCGTGGAAGGCGTGCTGTGAATCTAAACATGGTGTGGTGTGGGTAGTTGAGGTGAGAAAGCGAAAAATCCGAGCCTGAGGGTTGCAGCTGTGGATCATGTGGGCGGTGGTTTTGGAGAAATAGGGGAATTACGAGAAAAGAGGGGAGTTTTTTGGATTTGGTGATTTTGGTGATTTTCGTGGTTTTGGTACTGGCTGGGCCGGGCCTTGTGGGTTTTTGGTTTGTGACTCTGGTCTACAGTGGCTGCGAATGGGTGGGTGTGATGGAGGGGTGAAATCAAAAAGAAGAGGGCAAAAGACGACTTTTAAAGTGTTCCTTATCTAAATATTGTTCATAGTTTGACCTTCTATGTTACTTTATCAATGCAATTGAGCCGTTGTGTTTGGAGTGGTGTATTAGTGATGCACAGGGTCCAGCCACTCAGAGCCTCGGTATAGCTAAGGTGGTGGAATTGAGTTGGTTCCGTGAATTTTGAACCAAAGGTTTTGGAGAGTTTTCAGGCGGATACCTTGATATGGAGTTCGAACTTTCGGCGTATTCTTCCTGTTGTTGTTTCTGACAAATCTGGCTCCGTGGTGTGGCTCATTGGATGAGAAGAGAGGTGGACTATGAAAAGAATCCGGAAACGAAACAGAGAGTTTCGATTTTTCTGGAATATATCATATCAGATTTTAAAAGTGGATCCATCGAGAGCTTGAACAACTTTATCGAGAGAATCGAGGTGTGTTCTGCAATCTTGAACACTGAAAGAGTAAGCCCATCTTCAAGAAGTCCCATTTCTTCAGTATTCACTGTTCTTAGTGCATAAAAAATTTTGAAATATTTGAGTACTCTAAATTCTACTAAATCTACGACTAAGATTATGTGGGGATGCGTATTCATAGGCGGTCTGGAGACTATGGATGAGAGAGACAACAACTTTAGTTTCAACCACCGCCATTCCACCCAAACCCCCTGTCCGTTTTTCCAATTATACCTTCCTTAAAATAAAAGCTAATCCAGGCATTTTAGGAAAACCCAGTAATTATAGGCACTCGTATCTATATACTTACCCCATCTGGTCTCAGCTCGAGCATACACCCTCCACAACCACACAGTGATAGCCCCAGTAGCCCAAATTCCATCTATTTATGCACTTCATCAACAATCCCACCCACTCACCCACAAAACACCAACCTCCAAATACAACTCCCAATGGGTCGCTCGCAGTTGCACGGCTGACTCCGACCGGGACCTTCCGGTTTCTTCCACAGCATGACCTGAAGATCTCTGGACTAGTTTCCCAAGAAAACGCACAACCCTAAATCGCCAAAACCCTAAATCCCAAAAGCCTCTCCGCCCGAGCTCCTCTTCTGAGCCAGCCCTGCCCTAGCCAAGCCAAAACGCCAGTCCAAACGCCAGTGCATTGTGATTTTGGAATAAATACCCGAGGCTTAACTTCTGCAAACGCATCGAATCACGAACTCCGGTTTGTCTCTCTTGGCGGGCCCGTAGCTAGGCCAACCTAGTCAGACCAACAGTCTTAGAGCAGAATTGTAGCTTAAAGAATCATCGCAATACTATTAATGGTAAATTCCACCAAATACTGCCAAATCCTAGTGAGCCCTACCGCACTGCCAATTCCTACTAAACCTAATTATTTAACTAAACGCACCTGCCCCGCTACCCCAAACCGTCCTTCTGCCAAGTACTGAACAACGGTCCCCCGACCAAGATCCCCGGAGTCCACAATCGCCTGAATCCACCTTCCTGGCCCATTTCCACAATTTCCATTCTTCTTCTGCCAAATGCCCTCTACAACCAAAATCCTGCCCAAACGACGCCAAGCTCATCACCAGGTTCGGAGCGTCGCCATTACCTCCGGAAGCAGGAGCCTGGGTGTCCGTCGAAAGCGAGAAGGCGTCTAAATTTCAAAAGGACGGAAAGGCGTTTTGATTTTAAACGGAATTAAGCCAACGGTGGAAAAGCACGGTCCAAAAAATAAGGCTGTTTGTCGAAAAGCTGCCCCGACCTCAGTCTCAACTACTCCATCACCCAGGCTGGGCGGGGCCTTTCCACGCACGTCACTGGCTGAAATCTTGGCTCGGACAAGACGGCGTTTTGCCGGACGTAATCGTTTCATACTTTTTTTGAAAAAAAGAGAAAACAAGAAGAATTTGTAAAAAAACTACATTCTTCAAGTTCACTTCACCACGCCTGCTACACCATCAGCGCTGCCGTTGCACAATAGCACGGCGTTCGCAGGCGATTCTGTGGGGGTACCAAGAAAAAGCGTGGGGCTGGCCCAGAATTCCCAAACAAGATAAGCACCCTGATAACAAGTGCCGTGTGCGGTGGAAATGTGAAACTACGCCAATGAAAAAATGAAATGACATCTCTTCCTTGGTTCTAGAATACAAATTGCCAGTAGCCGTACTCAGTGTATCTCTGTATCTCAGTGTGCCTGAGGCTATCCTCGTGCACCATCACTGCACCGGCTGTACTGCCTGAGGGATGTGAGTGAAAAATGGTGCGGGAAGCTTGACTAAATGCCCCCATGAAGGACTGAAATCACCCGATAATGCTATTTTCCCGGCCTGACCACCGGCCTTACCACCACACTAATTACAGGCTGACTGTGAATTTGGTCTCCGCCTTGTGGGGCACAATGGCCGTGACGGCGTGCCCCTGCTTAGCCAAGGCCGCCATTAGCCGGTGCCAGTGCGACTGATTCTAGAGATTGGCACTTAGTCAGTTGAAACGAATCTGGAAACAGCCGACGATTTGCAAGAATTCGAGAAATGGCGCCCTACAGAAATCTAAATTCTTGGTCCGATAAGTACGGAAATCGCCTTGTTGCATGCTGATTGCGCAGTGGGTGAGATACGATTAGCAGATTTGCACCCGGCACAGAGCTTGCCTCAGTACCTGGCAAAACACCAAACACCAACCACCAACCACCAAATCAGGCAAAACAGGCCCGCTGTTAGCAAGCAAATAACAAGCCCAAATTGCTTCAATCACCATTGTTGAAACAATAAATCGCTCCCTTCATCCGACCATTGATCTCTTTTCACCTCTACCCTAGCTTCCCTAGCTTTTCTACCATCCTACTGCTTCTGCGCACTGGCTATCTAAAGTCCCTGCGTTCTCGCAGCCGTTTATCCCCACCAAAACAGCCATACCCGGAACCCCCAAAACTCCCAAAACGCCTAAATCCACCTCCCTTTCCCCTCGTCTCGCTCGCTCCTTATCTTAAGCAAACTCGTGAATCTCCCTGCCAAGATGCCAAGGTTCGTGCCGTGCGCCTCTGGGCTGCTTCGCTAGATACCATTACTGCCGACCTGCATATAAACAATATCCCAGCGTCTGCTCCACCTGCGCTGCCTGCGGCTTTTTGCAACCATTTCCCAGCCTCGAAACGCCGTGCAACAGAGCTATATAAGGCCCCGAGGGCCCGCTGTTTCCACATTTCCATCGCCATGTCACACCCCTCCGGCGACGTCGTCGCTTCAAACGTGGAAAAGTCCATCGTTGTGCAGGAAAAAGAACCCCTCCCATCAGACTCTGTTCTGCTGTCTGACGAGAAAGCTCCACTCGAAACGGTGGTCAAGCTGCCCTCGCTGGGCTCTGAGTTGGAGCAAGGCGAGGATGACGGCAGAGAACCCACGGCGGAAGAAATGAAGAAATTGCGCCACGTTTCCGAGAAAATCCCGCTTCGTTGTTGGCTTGTGGCTATCGTCGAGTTGGCTGAACGTTTCTCCTACTACGGTTTGTCCACGCCGTTCCAGAACTACATGCAAAATACGCCCGAAGACACCCCTCGTGGTATTCTCGGCTTGAACCAGTCCGGTGCCACCGCCTTGTCGTACTTCTGGCAGTTCTGGTGCTATGTTACGCCTATCTTCGGTGCCTGGATCGCAGACACCTTCACCGGCAAGTACAACGCCATTTGTATTTTCTGCGGTATCTACTTGGTGGGCATTATCGTCCTTTTCGTCACTTCCATCCCCGCTATCGCTTCCAGAGACACCTCGCTTGGTGGTTTCATTGTGGCCATCATCGTCATTGGTCTCGGTACTGGAGGTGTGAAAGCCAACGTTTCGCCCTTGATTGCCGACCAGGTGCCCAAAAACAAGCCCGTCATCCGTGTGCTCAAGTCCGGCGAAAGAGTCGTCCAGGACCCCAACATCACCATCCAAAACGTCTTCATGTTCTTCTACCTCATGATCAACGTGGGCTCGCTTTCCGTCATTGCAACCACCACCTTGGAGCACCAGATCGACTTCTGGGCCGGCTTCCTCTTGCCCTTGTGCTTCTTCTGCATTGCTCCGCTTGTGCTCTTTTTGGGTAAAAAGTACTACGTCAAGGTGCCCGTGGGTGAACAGGTTATCGCCAGATCCTTCAAGTGCACCTACATTGCCATCAAGAACAAGTTCAATTTCGATGCTGCCAGACCTTCGCTTCACCCCGAGGCCGGCTACCCATGGTCTGAAAAATTCGTCGAAGAAGTCCGCAGAGCTCTCTACGCTTGTAAGGTGTTTGTCTTCTACCCCATCTACTGGTTGGTGTACGGCCAGATGATCAACAATTTCGTTTCCCAGGCCGGTCAGATGGAGCTCCACGGACTCCCCAACGATATCTTGCAGGCCATCAACGCCTTGACCATCATTATCTTCATCCCCATCTGTGAGCGTTTCGTCTACCCCTTCATCAGAAGATTCACGCCCTTCAGAGCCATCACCAAGATCTTCTGGGGCTTCATGTTTGCATCCAGTGCCATGGTTTACGCCGGTGTGCTCCAGCACTTTATCTACCAGCAGGGTCCTTGTTACGAGTTCCCAATGCAGTGTGCTGAGGAGTACAGAAACACACCCAACGAGATCCACGTTGCCATCCAGACCCCCGCTTATTTCTTGATTGGTATGTCGGAGATTTTGGCCTCCATCACCGGTTTGGAGTACGCCTACACCAAGGCTCCAGTGACAATGAAGTCCTTCATTACTTCCCTTTTCCTTGTCACCAACGCCTTCGGTTCTGCTATCGGTATTGCTCTTTCGCCTACTGCCGAGAACCCCAAGTTGGTCTGGACCTACACCGGATTGGCTATTTCGTGTTTCATTGCTGGATGTCTCTTCTACACCATCTTCAAGAGCTTCAACGACAAGGAGGACGAGTTGAACCAGTCGGACTACATGGACGAGGACGAGGTGAACATCCATCCTATTACCTCCATCACGGAGTCCTTGGCCAACCGCTAAATGTGTATAGTTACGAGTTACGACGGCAGTTGAGCTGCCCAACAGAGTATTAAGAAACGGAGTGTAGGCTTGGTGAGAGTCAGTTTTCGGGATTGAGGAGTCAGCTTCCGTAGAGGTAGCGATTGAAGAAGTCAGATTAAAGCTTGTGGAGTCAGGGAGGCAGAGTCATGGATGTGTTGATGGTGTTGTACTGGCTGCGATAAGATAACTTCGAGGTGTGACAACGCTGGTGGACGATTTTTCTTACTTTTGACAATGAAGCAATCGATATTGACAAGAAACTGAAGAATGTCATGAAAATCCGTTCTTTTGTTTGGAGACACTTCTGTGGATGTGTCTTGCTTCACCTCATTGATGGAACCCATATCAGTTGATAATCCTCAAGTTGCCATTTCGACAAAAAACCCCACATCTCAGGAAAAGAAGCATCCGAAAAAGACAAAAATACTGCAACAAGTCTAATCTCCGCTGGTGGCTGTGTAAGTATCATCTATCTCACGGAATACGGAATCAGAGCTTATCATCTCGATGCACATCCACTAAAACACGCTGTAATCGAAATCCTCGTCAAATGAGATCCCCTTATCTAGGCTCGTTTTTGTACTTTCTGGGGCATCTGCTTGCTGTTATTGTTCGACTGACCCAATCGGTGCTTTTGTGTAACTTTTGGGGTTCTTATCTCGAAAGGTGCATGATCTGGAGATTGACAGGTTTTGACAGGAGGCTTTTTAGTTGCTCAATCGCCACCCAGATAAGACAATGTCTCAGTTTTTCATTGGTAGATGTATCATTTTGGCAGGTTTTGATAAAGGTGATGTAGATATGGTATTGCGCTTCAGATAAGAGATAAGACGGAGGAGCACATCTATTGGTGGATTGGGGTGTGTTTGAGTGGTGATAAACCTATCAGGGCAAGCTTGAAGATTAGCTTTCACGATATGGGATTTCTGGAGAACGTATTGGTCAGTATCTATGAATGCCGAAATCGATTGGACAATGATATCAGTATCCAATCGACGTGAGTGGTCACATTGGGGATCTAAAGGTCATAGAGTATTTCATATAAGTTGAATTTCTTCATTATTCTTCATTGTGGACTATATCGTTCGAAATCGGAATTTCTTTCTAGGTCCCGAGACTTCCGTTCTGGTGATAAGACTTATCAACGGCAACGCAATTCAAACCATCAATTTTTAAGAAAGAGTTCTTAAGCGCTGTATCCAACGTTTCTTTCGACAATATTTGACTTTTCGACTTTTTGAATTTCGTGTATTTCGTTGCATTCCATCATTGATGGTGACATCCTGAGAATACCGTGCATGGTTGCAAACTGCCCACAATCAGCATCCACAACACCACGCAAACAAATCGAAAACAATAGAAAATAACAAAAGGAAGCCAAAATCCAAAAATTCAAGAGCAGCCTAGTGCCTTGAAAAATAAAATAAATAAAAATCCTCTTTTCCTCCCTCCTCTTTCCCCAACCTCTTCCATCACACAACATCTACTGCGCACTCATCTCAACTACACCATCACCATGTTCATCCCGCTCATCATCCTCGCCGTCGTTTTCTGCGCCATTTCGCTCTATCTCCCCTACTCTGCAGGATTGACCCATCTCGAACGCAGAAAGAAGCAGCAGCAGCAAGCCAAACCAAAACGGAAAAACTCCGATGCTGGATACGGCTACATTTCTCCAGACGAAGAGTTGAGAAGACAAAGAGAACAGGAGGAGCAGCACGGGCTCAAGGCACGTGCGTCGGCGTTGAAGGAGCGTTTGAACGTGACCGCCGACGACATGCCTGTTCTGATCAAGTTGAACCAGCCTGGCTTGAGAAAGAGAACCGAGAAGATCGCCAACGACGTGGATCCCAACAACTACGATTACGATTTGGAGGAGTTGATCCAGGACGAGGCCAGGGAGGCCAACGAGGCGGCGATTCGTGCGGCTTACGCTGGTCAAGAGCTTGGTGGAGACAAGGAGGCGATGGTCTAGAGGTGGAGGTTGATATGGAGTTGTCGAGGGAAACGAAGTCATTTGAAGAGGTGGTTCCTGAGATACATTCTGAAAGAAAGGCTTGTTGTAGGAAATCTGTGCTTCGTTGATACCGGCATAGGTGAGCCTCCACTTAGGTGCCATCGGTTGTTCCTGTTGCTGGATCCTACAATTCACTCTCCATTGATCAGGATGCTCAACTTGCTCAACCCCAGTCTTCCAAACTTCATGCATCCTAGACGTGGGCCCACTTCCAAGTGGGTCGAGCTGTCCACAGCCTATCGACAAGACACAAGGTCCCCATATCAAGAATCACCTTCTTGTGTCTGCATTTACCATAAACATTATATCAGTGGCTCCGCTCGATTTTGCATTAATACATAGACGAACATTGGTCCATCTGGCTATTTACATGTAAACCCTCAGCTCACCATATCTAGAAGATCAATGAGATGACCCTTTTTGATATAATTCACCTCGTCACGACGGTAGAGCTCTGCAGTCGATGGTCCGTCAACACCCTGACGACCTTCTCCCCTGATTCTCCTGAGCTGCTCAAAAAGCCCGTTTTTGTGTTCGGCGATCTGGCCAGCCAAATCACGATTCTCCACCACAGCGTCAAAAGCCTCGTATATCAGCAGCACAAGACGGTCCAGAAGCTTGAGAAAGGCGCCATGTTCAACGGGAAGATTGGCCTTTTCAGAAACCATAGCCTGGTTTAGCCAAGACTCGACTTCTGGATGCATGTGGAGCTTGCCGATTTTGTCCTTCAATCGTAAATCGGTGCTGATGTCATGGTAGGCATCGTGAAGAGCTATCACCTTGGCAAGAAGGTCCTGGGCGTCAATAAGTGAGAACTTGTTGTTTTTGAAGGATTCGAATATCTTGATGAAGACTCTGGTGGTCAACGGAAGCTGGCATGTGTGCTCCATGATTCCTAGTAGCTGCTCGATTTTAGCGAATGACGCTCCAGAAGAACACAAACTATCGAGCACAGGAAGGAAGGTATTTTCCGTGGGAAAGACCCTGTGTGTGCCGTATTTGGTGCCTTCAGCTAAAGCAGCAGCATATAACTCGTCATCTTTTGGTGTCAACTTTTTGAGATAGCACTCCTGAGATTCCAAGGGTCTTGTGATCTGAGACGTCACAGCTTGTAAGATTTTCTTGGCTTCTTTGTCGGAGCCAGTCTTGATAAGGGCGTTAATTATGGCATTGACAGCTTTTATATCGACCAACTGTGGCCACTGTTCAATCATGATGGAGGCGTACTCAAATGCCGTTTCGTATTTGCCATAGTCCGTGTACCCGTATATCAACGTCAGAAAGGTCTCACCGTCGGGATCAAGTTTCTGCAGCTCTGCTCCAGAAAAATTAATCATGGCCTTTAAGTCCTCAACAACATCAAAACTCTCACTTCTTAATGCACTAAATAGAAGCACATTCACAGTACTAAGAGGAAGCTTCGCAGGAAGGGTTTCCTTGAGTCTGCAATACACAGCCCACGTTAGCGGCGGCGGGCTGATTCTGAACTTTGCATACTTTTTAGCCACATCGGGTTCAAGCTTTTTTAAAGCAGAGGCATGGGCACTTTTGATCTCTTCCAAGATGTCCTTTCTGTCACGAAAGAACCCCAAGTAGATGAGTCTATTCTGCTCCTCCTCAAGGATAGAAATTCCTGCTTTCTTCACGTCCTCCACTACTTTCCAGCACATCTTCACGTGTGCATCTCGCTGCTCCAATTGGTGTTTGTAGCTTTTTAGCATCAGCAAGGGCAGATAGTAGTTTCCAACCAGGGAAGCCAAAAGGCCCGGTTTGACGAAATCACGTCTCCTTAAAAGCTCCTTCATGAACTTCTCGAAGTCCTCAGGCTCCATACATGCCACACCTGGGCTTGGAAGCTCGCTATACCTTTTTAGCAACGTTGAATGGTTCACCAAGGCTTTCTTCGATTTGGGTGCCTCAAGCCGTGCTAGCAGTCGTCTTGTAGGATATAGGGATTTTAGAAAGAACGTGTATGAGCTTGGTTTTGGCGTATGGACATTTTCGTTCTGCAATTGTCGTATTCTTTCTCTTCTGTTTTGGACTTCTGGATTTGAGCTTTCTTTGGTCAAGTGGGAAGGTCGTAGTGGGGCATTCTTTGAAAGTTCACAAAGTAGTGGTCGTGAGGATGTCTTTTCAATATGGGATAGTAGCGTGGACGCTACCTGGGTAGCTTTTGGTGACATCCTGTTGTTGTAGGATCAACAGTGATGGACTCCAATCGATCGATTTTTGAGCTTATAAAATAATAGTGATATCTTTGAAGTCAGAAACGCTCAAGGAATGCACATATGGTGTTCTTGATTCCCCAATGGGTGTTTTCGTGGAAATACGATGGGGGTTATGGAAGATGAAGTAGGTGCCTGCAGAGAGGGTTCACCTCGATGCTTCGGAGATGGTGTTGGAGAACGATGATCTGAGGTGCAGATTTGGATTTAAGGAAAAAATATCTACTCTTTTCAATAAACTCTTACATTTTTTGACGGCTTGTTTGAATTACACCGTTCTGGTTGTCGATTTGACGGTGTACCCTGATGATTTTCCTGCACACACATGCCCACCAGAAGACCCCAAACGTCCACCCAAACACCCATTAAGCACCATAAATTGGCGTTTCCAGAGACTTTTTGACCCTTATTTCCCTCCCCATCCACCTCCCACAGCCATTTTTCCCCAAAAGACCGATTCACCAAAAAGCCGGTCACGTGACGCTACCACAAAATTTGAAGCGCTTTTCATTTTCCAACCAACACCATGAAGATCCAGCACGACGCCTCCAGGGTGCTCGAAAGAACATCGCATTTTCTTCGTAAGGGTGTCATCACGGACCGCCCCGCATGGGTGCCTGCCGTGGGCCTGCATCCCACCGGATACGACTTGACGAAAAGACCCAAGCGTTTCGATGCTGGAAGACAACCGTCAGACCCCCAGAACGATCTTTACAAGAAACAGGGCCAGTTCTACAACACCAGAACGTCGCCCAGAGAGCGCAGAAACACACATGCGTCTGTGAACGCCGTGCCCAAAATCAAGCTTTTAGAAGACCAGTTGAGAGACGTTTTCTACCATCAACATCCTTGGGAGTTGGCCAGACCCAAGAACACCGTCGAGAACGACGGCCAGGATATCGCCAAATGTGACTGGTCGCACATGCTCCAGGTGCACAAGCCGTTGGACGGCGAGCTGGTGGTGCAAAGAACATTGCATTTGTTGAAGCAGCAGCCCAAGACGAAAAACAGTCTTTTCGAGGCGTACGACCAGGCCCGTTTTGAGTTCTACCAGTTGCGTATGGCCGACGAGATGAGCCTGACCGTGCTGCGTGAGGAGCTGGCCATGTTCGGCGCCGTTTATCCTATTTCCAACATGGAATGGGGTACCAAGAAGGAGCAGGAGGCTGTGGACGTGTGGACCCAGCAGGCTGCTGAGCAGACGCGTGCTAGGGAGGCTACGCGGGACGGCAGCAAGGCGGTGGCGGCCACGGAGGGCGACTCGCTGGGATCGATTTGGGAGTCGACTGTTGTGGAGGAGGTTGAAGAGTGAAGGAGCATTGTAAATAGCCAAGAGCAATCAGCATGAGGGAGTGTAGTGGAGGGAGGGGCAAAGGGCGTTTGGTGGTATTTGTAGCCGTTTGGAGCCATTTTGGGGAAGGTTGGTGGTGGAAGAGCTAGTGGTGGAACATAAAGCTTTTTGGGTATTAAAGTGATTTTGAAGAAGAGGCGAACAAGGAGGAAGGATGGCTATGCTTCTAGAGATTTATGAAAATTGGGTTTGGAACGAAAAACGGCTTAAATACGGTTTGTATTCTGTCCCTCTGTTCTGGTGATTTACTGATGGCATTGACATGGTATTTTATTCTCTAAGTGGACTTGAAACCAAAGCAATGAGTCGAATACAAGATCCGTCACAGAAACTTTCCGTTTGAATAAATCCCGTACGGACAGAATTTGCTGTCGATTTGGTTTGATCAAGAGGCTTGTTAGGCAGTATTACAGAACGTAGAGGTAGTTGAATAACTGAAAAAGGCCAAAGCAAAAGGCCACATACAAACGCCAAAGCAAATGAACTTGTTCAAAAGTTAAACAATCTTTTCGCTCGAATGCTTAGTCTAGAGAGTAGAATATGGAGTAGAATACAGAGTCTGGGGTGAGGTGCAGCAGGTGAATCAGTCAGTGTTCTGGTATAATGGAGATGCACTAAGACAGAATCTTCAAAACACGATCAAAACGTTCATTAGACCTCGAACGGTTTCCTCGACCACCGTTCCTCGTCGATTCCATCAACGATCCATCAATAGGCCATCATCCAGACCCTTCACCATCCATCCTTGATCAACTTCAAATTTTTCCCCACTGCAACACTTTCCTTGTTTTCTCCTCATCCCCTCGTACAATGTCTCCTCGACAGGTCCATTCCGTAATGCATGTATTTCTATCTAGTGGTGGTGCTCCTCGGGCTTCTTGATCAACTTGTCGTAGACCAAGTAAGCGGAAAAGGCCACGGTGGCGATTCCAAGACCAGGGAAGGCCGACTTGAATCTGTTGATGCGGGAGAACTGACCCTCGTATCTCCACGCGTCTCTCTTGGCCCAGGGATTGCTGCTCATGGTAGTTGGTTTGGAGTGGATTATTCGCAGACGCTCTTATTGGTGGGTCGGGCGTGCGCGAACCGGGATATCACTGGGTGGGATGAAGAGGGTTTTTGTGGTGGTTTTGGTGGGTGGGTGGATTTGAAGGATGTAGTTGGATTGGGGTTTTAAGGTTGGATTGTTTTTGGGTTTGTGGGTTTTGGTTCTGGGGGTTTTGGTTGGTGTTTTATGGGTAGTGGTCGGAGTGCGATGGCTGCAAATGAGACAGAAGTGATTGTTAGGGTCCTGTGAACGTATCACAGGATTTTCCGGAGTTTGGCCGGAATTCTAGTAGTCGAACTTCGGAATATAAATAACGAAGCCCTTTTAGTTGAGTTGTCAAGGAAGTTTGAGCTAGTCTGTTTCGCGTATATACTATGGTTGCAAATGCGCATCCCATCAGTGATATGGGGGTCCAAGGTAGTAATGGTGTTTGAATCTCACAGTGTTTTTTATTGATCATTTTTTTAGTGATCCTTTGCTTTTATTTTCTCGTATTAGTTTTTCGCTTGGAAAAAGCGTGTGCTCTTTGAACTACAACATTTCTGGTATCGACTTCGCAGGAATCAGTCGTACATCCAATGAGAGAGGCGAAGGTGATTAAATGTTTGAGAATTCTAGCTTTCTTTTGGGGAATATCTACAGCAAATTTCCATTCTGTAAGATCTGTCATGTTTATCCAAGGCATCATGTTCTAAAGGCAGTGAGGTACATATATGCCTGGAGTTGAAGTTGGTTTCATGTACTGCTGCTTCTTTGAGGAACAATTTCAAACAAAAATTTCATGAATTAAGTATTTTCAGACCGCTTCACTTGATGAACAAGGAAATTGAAGCTTTGAGAGTCTGTTCGTCACAGCCTTCTGGGCAATTGTGGAGGGACTGAAGTGAATTCAATCACAATATAACGAGTACCCATATTTATGTCTAGAACCTGTCAACTGCATTCCTTCAATTAAAGCTCAAGAAAAGCATTGCGTCCTTTGTGGTGTTCCGCTTTACTTTCGGGACTCCTCTGTATTGCATTGAAATCCATACGTACTTCCATCAATGGTTCCATAAATCTTAATATAATCTACGATAACGTCAAAAGTACCCTATTTGAAGCTTAGCGTGCAATGAACGGAGCGATTTGACGTAATTATGACCTCGCCTTAGTATCAAAAAATATAGCCTAAATGGCTGCAAACTCTTCAGCCGCATGGTCCGAACACTAACGATTTCATCGTCAACAGACCATAAAATGAGGCTTCCATAAACTTCAATGGGTGATTTAGCTCTCATAAATCAAACTGTAATTTCTTTCTATCCCAAACCCGGATCCTCCTCTGTATCACTCACGGTCTCGGGGTTCCTATATCGCATCACTAGCAGTTCCCGCCGCACCATGGACCCACGCCTCAAACTGAACAAAAAAGAAATAAACACCCCAGGCCTATAAATACAGCGGTACTCCCTCCAACACAAAAAGCCAAAATCCCAATTCACCCCCCTCCTCGTCTCTCTCACCCTCCAGAATGCTACTCCGTTCAAGCAACCGAGGTGCATATGACGTGAAGAGCACCTGCAGCACGATACGGAGCGCAATCTACCCCAGAAATTACATACCACTTCTTTTTCTTAATGCCCGAGGAAAACAGCCAATTGGAGCGTTTGGTGGGTGCTCCAGAGCCCCAAAGCGAAGAACTCACAGATTCAGAAAACGAGGACGACTTTGTGAGAAAGTACGGAGAAATCGACTTTCGTTACATCAAAAGACCCAGGGACTCGGTGTGGTTCATCAGACCCCATGCCCTCAATTACTTCAAAGGGGGTACCTTGTACCGGACAAAAGGAGAACGGCTGTCGGGAAAGACGGAGTTGTTCTTGGACTTGATCTATGTGGGCATCATCGGCTCGGTCGCTGGAGAGGCGTGTGAAAACGCCTCTTGGTACGCGCTTCTCAAGTACATTTTGGTGTTTTTACCCTACTGGACCGTTTGGGCGGACATCAAGGACGTGACCAACTACTACTACAACGAGGACTTGTCGCAGAAGTTGTATCTTTTGTGGATTTTGGTGTTGTTGACCACGTCTGTAAACGCGCAGACACACGTCTTGGAGCTGACCAGAGGCGCTGCTTTTACTATTGTGCCCTATATTCTTTGTCGCCTTTCATTGGCCTTTTTGCTCTTGTTTTACTCCTTCTACGTGCCCGAACACAGACCGCAGCAGCGGTTGTACTTTGTGTTTTTGGTCATCACGAGCAGTCTTTGGATTCCGGTGATTTTCGTGGGCGTCAAGACCAAGGTCATTTTGGCGTTGGTGACTATCGCCTTGGAGCAGATCACCTTTTCGATAGCGTTCCACCCAATCACCAAAAGAATGCTCAAACTCACCATGTCCACAGCCCTCAATATCGAGCACGAGGTTGAGCGAATGGCTGCTTTCTACACCGTTGCAATTGGCGAGTTTTTGACCAAAGTCACGGCAGAATCGCCCATCGGCGTGGGTTTCACCAAATTGTACCCTAGAGCGATGTACTTCCTCGTCATTGCGTATATTCTCTTTTGGTTCTACGACAACGCCGGTACGTCCCAGAAAGCTGTCCACCCACTTCGCCATAGCGCTTCGCGTGCCATTTCTTGGATCTACATCCATGTGCCGCTTATTGGCTCTGTGGTGCTTGCTGCTGATGCTGGAGGTGAGCTTCTTGGAATCGAGGAACCCCGTATTTTCGGCTGGGGTCCACCGGCGACTGACGTTGTGCTTGGAGAAGAGAAAGACGTTTACGTGCTTACCTTGTTTTTCACCGGAGGTTTGTTTGTCACCTTGCTTTCAATCACGATCATCGGGTTCCTTGACGATTGCAGAGATCCTCCTGAGGTGTTCTTGGTGCTGAAGTTCTGGCGAGTGATTTGGAGGGTTCCTGTTGCGTTTGCCATTCTTTTGCTGAGTTTCTTGAACCTTGGCATTTCCACCGTTATGGGTACTGCCATGGGGCTTCTTGTGGCGCTTTACGTGTACGAGAGTGTTGTCGCAACGCCGAAGAAGAACCTCCCGTTCTGGTGTCAAAGCTCTGTTTCCTTGTAAGGTTGCAGTGATCATACCGCCTAAAATTTATGGTGCTGCTCGCGTTTGGGCTTGATCACAAGATATCAAATTGTGGGATAACCATCTTCAAGGTTTAGCCGGATGCCCCTGTTAACGGTGAGTGCTCTAGATTGTCACTGATTTGCAGCCATTGACAATGGAGTACTGCAACCTGGGCAAAAGCTGCTCTAACGATCAAAGCTTCCCCATCGATGGTTCAGTCCCTTTTGCTTCTTGATAAATCAAACAAATCTCCCTTTTGTGTCCGATGTGTTCTGCCTTGCTCCGATCAGCTTACGCACTTTCGGTACACCGAGCTACAGCTAGCCACAGCCATCTGGACTACCTAGAAACAATTCACACTTCCCTGTGAACGCAAGACTTTTATGACTCCCGTTTGTTAAGTTTTGCCAAAGATCCAAAACTTCAACATATAAAATTCAGTGAGTAGCAAAATGTGCCAGTAGATCCTCCTCCACCTTACTCCACGCGAAGTCAAATCCGCACCATCTCAATATCACATACCATCGAGGCACTCATTTACGCCAGGGGCAAACCACACATTACAAACATATACAGAACCACACGTCCCCCCTTTTTCCCAAAAACTATAAAAGCAGCCCTATCCCCCGAATTCAAACCCCGAAAACCCCAGTACACATAGACTCCATCGCGCCGATTCATTCATCAACTACATGCCCAGAATCCAGGTGATGGGCCCGAAACTGGCAAACACGGGCCCGGTGAGCTACCGCACGTGCTCAGATGTGGAGAACGGCGCCGTGACAAATAAGGTGCTCGTGACGATTTCGCTTCCTCGGCTACGACAGATTGGAAGTGGTGATAATGAGAGGAACCAGGAGAGGAGCGTTGAAGGCCAGCGGAGTCCAAAAACGAGAAGTAGTGTAAGGGGGTCGCTGAAGGCGTCAAACTCAGCGGAAGCCTCTGGAAATCCGTCTCCAGAAGGTCCACCTAAGGCAGACTCTCAGAACCTCAATAACCACCATCAAACCCAGAATACACCGCCACGTCCTGCCCCCGTGGCCCTGCTACACCAGAACATTGCTCCGCAGCTCCAGAACATTCTGGAAAACACGCCGCTTTGGCCTCTTTCGGGGAATTTTGCTGTGAATGCTGCAAACGCTGCAGGTGCTAGAACAGCTCCAAGACCTAATGAGGTGCCCCCAGCTACACAGAACGACGACTCAGAATCAGAACTAGAGGTTCTCGAGGTCCGCATGCTACCGGCACGGTCCAGACCGCAGCAGCTTCTCGACGATGACGATTTGGATCTTTCTTCTCTCGATGACGAACTCAACCACGCCTTATCGTCCACGACCACCATGCCCACACAGGTGATATCGTCGCCGAAAAAGGAGCCGGAGCCCAAGAAAGCCCCGTATCAGCCGCCTCTACCCATGCACAAGCTCCTTCCTACGCTATACAAGCCCATCAAGCTCCGATCGTCGCCAGCGCCGCCTGGCTATAGGAACATCCCGCCAAATTTGGTGTGTGCCATTCAAAGAGAGCTAAATACGTTTTTTGATACCGGCAGCGACGACAAGGACGATTTGGAGGTTGTGGGCAAGATTGTGTTTTCGCTCAAGGATCCGTACTCGGCCACGAAGATAGCGCTTCCCGTGAAGGCCACGACGTGCCGTCATTTTGAGTGTTTCGATTTTGACAACTTCTGCACTTTCTCCAAAATGCCCACGGGCGTACGTCACCATTTGAAGAAAACGCTTGTGCTGAAAAGCCACGACTCCAGACGCCTAGAGCAACTTTTCCTCAAGCAGCAGAAGCTCATTTCCGAAGGTGCTCTCCTGTTCAAGGCTCCTGGTCTCGTGTACCCGCTGTTTTCGGAGCACGGGCAGATGTTCTTCCTGGAAGTTTACTGCCGGACGCCGCCCTTGTACAAATGCCCATTGTGTGACGAAAAATTTGGTTTGAAGCAGCTCTACATCAGCGACATCTTCAATTTCTTCGTGAAAACGACCCCTCGCAGCATCAGCAAGATCGAGTTGGTCGAGACGGACAGATACAAAATTATAGACGAAGATGCGCCTGTCAGAGAGGAAAGAACAGAAACGCCGGACGTGGTTGTTCTTTCGGAGGACGAGAGCGACGGAGAGGTGAAGAAAGAGGTGAACAAGTCGTTCAGTGCCGACGACTTCAACGACGGATTGGACGATATGTTGACGAAAATCAGCCAGGACGAGGGTTCCTGGAGCAATCCTGTGACGCTATAGATTGACGGGGACGATTAACTTATAAACTCAGCTTGCCGTGGGGCTCATATGGATAGAACAATACCAACACGGCTGCAAACAAGAACAAGGCTCCCGGTGTGTAGATGGGGGCTGCCGTTTCCAAATCCGCATAGATGGCGATGATGGGAGAAAAGATACTAAACACTCTGTTGGCCAGAGCAGCTAGACCCACAGCGGTTCCTCTGATTTTGGTAGGGAAGATTTCGGGAGTATAAGCGTAAAGCGTTCCGTACATGATGTTGGAGAAAAAACTGAAGAAGCAGTTCCATGCCAAGTACGAATTTGGTGTTTTCGCCGTGGTGGATCCAAAAAGCACCACTCCAGTTAAAATGAGCGAACCGAACAAAACGCCTTTTCTGCCTGTTCGAAGCTCCACCATGATGCCTGCTATTATGGCGCCTGGAATACCCAAGACTGCCACAATCAAGGTGTTTCTGTATGTTTCATGAACACTGAGTGGCTGGTTAGCTTCACCTCTTTGTTCCAAGAATGTCGGAAGAAAGGCCATGTACAACGGGAACGCAAGCCCAATGATTCCCCAGGAAAAGATCACCAAACTCGACGAAATCATGAGTTTCTTGGACCCGAAACACTGTCTGATTTTGGTGAGGTTGTACCTCCTCAACTTGGACTTGAGAAGCTCGTTTCCCTGTGGTTTGGGCTCCTCAGTCAGCGTTGTCTCGTCGCCAATCTGGAGATCCTCGATCGTCAATTCACACGGCTCGCGGTTGATTTTGGCGATTCGGTGGACGATTTCCACGGCTTTTTCGTCGTTTCCCTTGCCGAGATGAAAGGACGGACTTTCAAAAACAGGCACCACAAATCGAGCCACAAACATCATCAACGTGAGCCCGCCAAGCGTGAAGACGAAATACCGCCATCCCTGGTTCTGCTCCCGCAAGCAATTGTCTGAATCTGGGCAACTGTAGTTGGATATAAGAGCCCACGAAATGAGCGCCGTTACAACCTGCCCTATGGCCCACCAAATGGACATGACGGTCAAAAGCCACTTTTTGCTTGTTGGAAGCGCCTCGAGCATGATGGCAGAATCCACGGGCAAATTGCCGCCGACGCCAAAACTCCACAAGGAGCAGAAACACCCAATGGCTGCAAAATTGGGAGCAGACCCTGAGCACAAGCCAAAAACGCCAATGAACAAAAAGGTGATGTTGAACGCCCAGCGGCGGCCGATTATGTCGGCGGAAATCGACCAGAACGCCGCCCCAGCAAGAAGCCCAAAGCTCTGTGACAAAAGAAGATACGGAGAACGGCCTTCTGGATAGTGCACTCCATCAACCTCAATTAAACGAGGAAGAATGTACGCCGTGACGGAGGGCCAGGCGTTATCGGCAAACCAACCAAACCCAGCCACCACGAAAAGCCCATACTGGTACCTTCCGAAACCGATGTTGTCGATGGTGTTGCTGAGAACCAAGGCCTTCTTGATGTAGGCCTCGTCGAAATCTGCAGAGTCATAGAGCTCCTGGTTCTGTTCCGGAAGCGAAACCTCCTCCAGTTCCCTCACGATGACTTCTGGGGCACCCATAACAAAAAAAGAAGTTGTTGTTGTCGTACTTTTTGTGGCTTTTTATTCGTGGCATTCTATCCATGCATCGAGTCCCGGAACAATAGCTGTCGTTACTGCCGCAGCCCCTCATAGATGCATAAGCGCGTGGCTGGTGTCTGCATCGAGCAATAAGCACGATTCTTGATAGGGCACGTGTTGCCCAATGGGTCAGTTTTCGGCGTGACTATTTCCCCAATTACCTAGAGGTTTAACAAAGACAGTCTTGGTCCAAAGATGCTTGGACATGCGAGGGTTTATCTTGGTTTGCGGCGTTCTGAGGGGTACAGCCGTGGGGTCCAATGGGGCCTTTGTGGGCCAGTGACGTCACAAGAGTGCTTCCTTTGTCAGTGGTGGTGATGGCATTGAATGTATGAGAGTGGATAAGAAAATGTCTTGTGGATCTAAAAGTGGGGTGCACCGGGATGAAGGAAAGTACTCCGGTTTCGTTGCATTTTGGGTACCATGGAGTGGATCCAAGCTTTTTGGCCAATAAGTAGTATATAAGCTGTTTGGGTCACTGGTGATTGGTCAAGGGTCTGCATTTCATAGCATTCCTGGAATCTGTACGATCTCTTGGCTCGGCTATTCTTGAAGGGTAGTGCAATTGTGTATTTGGTGAGGTTTTGGTGCGTTTTTGGAGAGCGCTAAATCTGGGGTAATGGATCACCAGGTTGGAAATTGCACAATCATTGGGGTATATGAATGCCCCAGTTGGTTTGTAGAGACATTAAAAATGATGCATCTTCAGGTCCAACACAATAATTCACGGATTTTAGGGTCTTCTTCAAATCTCTTGTGATCTTGGATATCGGCTCTTTTGCCTTATACACCCATACCCTCAGCAGAATGTGATCCCACCAGTCTCACCTGATCAGCACACCAGCTGACCCTCTGGGTCTATATAGGTAGGTGACTGGAGCCTCCTTCAAATTGGTCAGTTTTCCTAAATTTCAGCATCTTTTTAATTTCAGCATTTGTGGCACTGTGAGTATACTCTGGCTCACTGGCGCACCTTGAGACACAGAATCCATATTAACAGTATCCAGACAAGCCCTACTTGAACCGAATCACCTTCCAATTATAATACTGTTTAAACCACTATATACACCTTCGATATTTAAAAACCGCTTCATCGTCGATTATCAAAACCCCTCCTCAACGGTGTAGCTCCATTACAGCCAACCCACTGCCTCCAAAGAACCCTGCGATACTCACCATACCCATTGAGTTCCACACCTGCCTTTTTACCCCAAATGAAAGAAAGGAAAAAATGAAGTTTTCATCAAACTAACCCCATTTCACCTCCCCCACCTTCCATAAACAGCATTTTCCGCCAAAGTCGATCCTTCCATCCACCCTCACTACCTCAGCATCCACCTCCATGCACAATTCCACAATCCACGATTCCACAACTCCACAATCCCACAACTCCACGATTCCCAAAACACCTCCCAAAATCCAAAAATCCCAAATCATGAAAAATCAACCTCCACAAAATCCATTCAAAACTTTTATCCACCTTTTTTTCATCGGAAATCTCGCTTATAAGCGCTGTGCCTGTAGCCGCAGATCCCCAGAGACTAAAAACCGTAAAGCAGCGAGCCGCAGACCCACCATTTCCGAAACCGAACCTAAATAAACGGAAATCAAAGAAAACTAAACTTCCCAATTCCAGTGGAAATCCAAAAATCACCAGAACCCCCTTTGTGCTTCGGTTCATGCACCGACCGCTGGATCGATCTGACATGGCATAGTGCTCAGGCTGATTCGAGACAACCCAAATTTTTCACCCGGCCGGAAGCAAATCCTCAGCCCTACAGCCGTGGAATTCATGGAATTCATGAAATTTGCAAAATCCATGGAATCTATGGACTTTCTGAAAATTCATCAAAATCAGAAACCCTAGACGTCCAAATCCGTGAAAGCCAAACCCCCCTCCTTACACTTTCAATCAACTAAGCACCTTTTTTCACTCCCCTCGCTCCAGACGTTTCCTGTCAATCGACCCAACCCAAAAAAGGCCATACACTGTGACTTCACAACCCACACACCCTACACTCTCCTACGTCATTTTTCCAGATTGTGAGATATTTTCCAAACCGCCAAAGTGGCTTAAAACGGTCAATCCCCCCCTTCGTCCAATTCTCCTCCGGTAAGGTCCCCTCCGAAAAGACGGCCAGTGTCGTTATCGCATTTTTCACATGCGCGATTTTCAACATATAAGGACCTCAGATCCACCATCACCGTTCACAATTCTTGAAAAATGGCCCATGGGATCACGTTCCGTGGCGAAACCTTCGCCGTCCCGGAGACCCACGACATGGTGAAGACGCTCTTTGACCCGTCTGTCCGTAAATCCGTGTGTGAGGTGTTGATCTTGCTCGTGCTAGCTTCCAACGGCGCCGTTTTCTTTGTGGCGTCTCCAGACGGCCAGATCAAGGCGTTTATTGCCTTGTACGTGTTCTGGCGTTTCTGCTACAACTTCGGAATTGGCTACTTGCTCAACCAGCAGCTGAACCGGTTCCGCTTGGTGGAGTGGGCGAGAAAGTATAAGGTGTTTGAGAAGGAGAACACCTCCACCTTGGCCAATTTCGTCCAGTTGGAGGTTAGGTCCCAGATGGGCGCCGACTACAGTATTTCCGGCCACCCGGTCGACTTCAACACCTGGTTGATTTTCAGAAAAGTCGTGGACTTGATCTTGATGCTGGACTTCACCACCTTTGTGTGTCTTGTGGTGGCGTGCTGCTGCAAGGACGATTACCAGTTTTTGCACGGCCAGCCTGTGTGGGCTGTCACGGCCAGAATCGTTGTGGGAGTGCTGTTGATCTTGTTCAACCTCTGGGTCAAGATCAATGCTCATAACACCATCAAGGACTACGCCTGGTACTGGGGCGATTTCTTCTTTAGACAGATCAACAACGAGGATTTGATTTTTGACGGCGTTTTCGAGATGTTCCCCCACCCCATGTACTCGGTGGGATACATTGGATACTACGGTTTTGCGCTTATTGCAAAGTCCTACACTGTTCTTGTGATTGCCTTGTTCGGCCACTTTTTGCAGATGGTGTTCTTGCACTTTATCGAAAACCCACATATCGACAAGATCTACGGGCCCTCGGCCAACGAAAACTCCTTGCTGCAGTTGATCTCTTACAAGGATTTGGCCAACTTCGATAACACCAAGCCTTTGGTCGGTATGGCCAACTTCAACGTTCTTAGAGCCAGTGACGTGATCAACTTGATCAATTGTCTCACCTACCTGGCCTTTATTCCCATTTTGGCCTCGCTTTCTGCTTCGAACGTCTCAGCAGTTGCTAGAATTTTGTTCTACTTGACCGTCACAATCAAGGTTCTCGAATCGGTCTCCATCAACGTTGTTCTTGTGCTCCAAAGCGAGTTCAAAACCTTCACCAAGTGGTACCTTTCCAACAACGTGCCCGTCGAAAAGTCCCTCAACAACTTTGCCATCCTTTACAACTCCATGATCAACTTGACCTACGCCTCCTTCATTGGCATGAACTTGTTCAAGGTGCTCACCTGGTGCGAGTTTCACGACTTTTTCTTCAGTGACTACCTCTACTTGCGTGTGTTCATGGGCTTGTTGCTTGTGGTGACGCAGGTCTGGATCAACACTTCCATCATTGATCTGATTGGCTACTTTGGCTGGTTCTACGGTGACTTCTTCATTCCCAAATCGTCTTTCATGCCCCAAAGAACCCACTTGACTAAGGCTGGTGTCTACCGTTACCTCAATAACCCTGAGCAGGTGTTTGGAGTCTGTGGAGTCATGGGAGCTACGTTGATGTTGCCTACTTTCGATAACCTCGTGATCTGCTTGATCTGGGTGGTGAACAACTTTGTCAGAATCAACTTCATTGAGAAGAACCACATGATCAAGGTTTACGGTGAAGATGAGGTGCTCAAGGATAGTGGAGTGACGAAAACGGTCAAGAAGCACTTGTTGTCTGAAAGCATTGAAAAGAAGCTCAGCCGCTCTGACTCCCAGAGACGTAACTCTGGTCCAACCTCGATTGTGTCTTCCTTCGACGCCTTCATGAAAGAATTGAGATTTTCCACCAAATTGTTCTCGAAACAGAATATCGCCGACTTGTCCCAGAACAAATACTTTGCCAACAGCGACTACCACTTGGACGTTGAGGGACTCACAGCAACAGACTCCATTCCTTCCAAATACGTCGGACAGCCCATCAAAGTGGCCTTTTCTGCCCCTACAGACCACTCTTCTCATGACTGGGTCGGTTTGTACAAAATCACCCACACTTCCTACTCCCGTTACAGAACCTTGATCTCGTCCAATTCTCGCTGGTCCTGGACCGGTGCTGAAAACAGCGGAACCATTGAATTTGCCAGAGAGAAGTTGTTCTGGGAGGAAGGCCTTTACGAGTTCAGGTACCATCTTGACGGAAGACACGATGTTGGATTTATCACGTCGCCTTTTGAAATCAAGGTTCCCGAAATCGAGGTTCCTAGAAACCCAGCCGAAACTACAGAACTCGCCCACGAGCTCAACTCTACAATCTTCACGCCCATGTTGGCGTCTGCTCCAGATATCAACACGCCGATTTACCAATCGCTTACGAAAAACGACGACATTGTGGCCATCTACACTCGTGCTGCCCAGCTTATTGCCAAGAGCACGGGAGTGAAGGTCAGCAAGCGTTTTTTGATTTACAACGACAACGAAAGCGGCAACAAATTCACTATTTATGACTTGGCTTCCAAATTGGTGTCGATCCACAATGCCTTGTCTGAGTTGCTGGCGGACGACCAGGATTTACAGGATAAGAAAACTCAGTAGAGCACCTCGTGTACATAGAATCGCATATATGCATAGGACTGCTGTAGTCTATCATGGGGAGTAGCCCTATGCCAATGAATTCGCCATATGCCGCCAGATGTAGCCGAAATGACTAGACCGCCTTAAAATGCATGAAATGATGAAAATGGTCGGACTATTT